GTACATTAAAAGATAATTGACTATCGGTAGAATTTAGTACATAACTGATTGAAGTCATTTAGGTTGTAAAGTAAATTTTAAATAGAAAAAAATGAAGAAAAACAGAAAGAAGATGGTCATTATTATAGTGAAATTATGAATAAAACTGTTTCAAATCATTCCATATCATAAAATTGTAGTGATCAAGAATGTATTAGACACGAAATTGAGCCACTGTACACCATTGTTTTCAGTGGATTGGTTGAAGTTAGACATTAACACCATTGAATTCTAGCTCAGTGGTCCCAGGTTCGAATCTTGCAGGGGGCGGGATCGTGAATGAGCACTGCTGAGGAGTCTCATACTAGGATGAAACAGCCATCCAGTCCTATCAGGTATTTCATGGTGGTTTAGCTTCACTTACTTACTTACGCCTGTTACTCCTCGTGAAGGAGCATAGGCCGCTCACCAGCATTCTCCATCCAACCCTGTCCTGGGCAATCCTTTCTAGCTCCGTCCAGTTGTAATTCATCGTTTTCATATCTGCTTCTATTATCCGACGCAATGTGTTCTTTGGCCTTCCTCTTTTTCGCTTCCCTTCAGGATTCCAAGTTAGCGCTTGCCTCGTGATGCAGTTTGACGATTTGCGTAATGTATGTCCTATCCATTTCCATCGTCTTTTCCTAATTTCTTCTTCAGCTGGAAGTTGGTTTGTTCTCTCCCACAGAAGGCTATTGCTGATGGTATCCGGCCAATGGATGTTGAGTATATTGCGTAGACAGCTATTTATAAATACTTATACTTTCTTGATTGTGGTTGTTGTAGTTCTCCAAGTTTCAGCTCCATACAGTAGAACTGCCTTGACGTTGGTATTGAAGATTTTCACTTTGATATTGGTTGAAAGTTGTTTTGAGTTCCATATGTTTTTTAACTGTAGGAACGCTGTCCTTGCTTTGCCAATCCTTGCGTTTACGTCTGCATCTGAACCTCCTTGTTCATCGATGATGCTTCCTAGGTATGTGAAGGACTCTACATTTTCCAGAGTTTCGCCATCAAGAGTGATTGGATTATTGTTTTCCACTTTGAATTTGAGGACTTTGGTTTTCCCTTTGTGTATACTGAGGCCTACTGATGCAGAGACTGCTGCTACACTGGCTGTCTTCATCTGCATCTGTTCGTGTGTATGCGATAGGAGGGCTAGGTCATCTGCGAAGTCCAAATCGTCTAATTGATTCTGAGCTGTCCATTGAATTCCGTGTTTTCCTTCAGATGTCGAGGTCTTCATAATCCAGTCGACCACCAGAAGAAAGAGGAAGGGAGAGAGTAAACAGCCTTGTCTGACTCCGGTCCTTATTTGGAATGCATCTGTCAGCTGTCTTCCATGCACGACTTTGCACTGTAGTCCGTCGTATGAGTTCCGGATAATGTTGACAATCTTCTCAGGAACTCCGTAGTGTCGAAGAAGTTTCCATAATGTCCTCCTATCCACACTGTCGAATGCTTTTTCATAATCAATGAAGTTGATGTATAGTGATGAGTTCCACTCAACTGATTGTTCGACGATGATCCGTAGTGTTGCGATTCGGTCTGTGCACGACCGATCCTTACGGAATCCAGCTTATTGATCTCGAAGTTGGGCGTCTACTACATCTTTCATCCGGTTCAGCAACACTATGTTGAAGACTTTCCCTGGTATTGACAACAGTGTAATGCCTCTATAGTTTTCACATTTGCTCAGATCTCCTTTCGTTGGAATCTTGACGAGGTGCCCTTCTTTCCAGTCCATCGGCACTTGTTCCTCCTCCCAAATCTTTTTGAATAGAAGGTGAAGCATGTTTGCAGTTACTTCGATGTCTGACTTCAGTGCTTCAGCTGGTATGTTGTCCGGTCCCGCTGCTTTCCCGCTCTTGATTTGTCTGACGGCCATTATAATTTCTTCCGTCGTTGGTGGGTTGACGTCTATGGGAAGATCTGTGTGTGCCGCTTCGATGTCCGGTGGATTCATTGGAGCCGGCCTATTCAGGAGTTCCTCGAAGTATTCTACCCATCTGTTCCGCTGTTGTTGAATTTCGGTGATTGGCTTGCCTTCTTTGTCTTTGACCGGTCTTTCTGGTTTACTGTATTTCCCTGATAGTTTCTTCGTTGTATCGTAAAGCTGTTTCATATTTCCTTCTCTAGCAGCTTTCTCCATCGTCGTTACTAGTTCTTCCACGTATTTGTGCTTGTCAGCTCTAATGCTCCTCTTCACTTGTTTGTTTGCTTTTATGTATTCAGCTTGTGCTTGGACTTTCTCTGCTCGTGTTCGGCTGTTGTTTATTGCTGACTTCTTGTTCTTCCTTTCTTTGATCTTGTCCAGTGTTTCTGTAGTGATCCATTCCTTATGATGGTATTTCTTTAGACCCATAACCTCTTGACACGTTGAAGTTAATGTTTCTTTGATACCTTTCCAGTTGTCCTCCATTGTAGTTTCTTCTTCCTTCCGTAGATCCTGTAAAGCTTGGAATCTGTTGTTGAAAGATATTTTGAATTCATTGAGTTTGTCAGTATCTCGAAGGAAGGCTGTATTGAACCTTTGTAGTGCTGTTTGTCCACTTGTCCAGTTCTTTTTAAGCTTCAGTTTTAAATTGGCCACAACTAGGTGGTGATCTGAAGCTACGTCAGCGCCTCTCCTGGTTCTCACATCTTCCATTGTCCTTCGGAATTTTTTGTTGATGCAAATATGATCTATTTGGTTCTCTGTAGTGTGGTCCGGTGAGATCCATGTAGCCTTGTATATACGCTTGTGTGGAAATATTGTGTCTCCTATGACCAATTCGTTGAATGCACATAGATTTGCAAATCTTTCTCCATTTTCGTTTCTCTCTCCCAGTCCATGTCGTCCCATAATATATTCATATCCAGTGTTGTCTATTCCGACTTTGGCATTTCGATCTCCCATCAGAATAGTTAGGTCCTTTGTTTGGCATTTCTCAATGACTGACTGCAGCCGCTCGTAGAACTGATCTTTAATGTCGTCGTTGCTACCATTTGTGGGTGCATAACATTAGATAATATTCATTAAGATCCCCTCCTTCTTTGTTTTGAATGATGCTTTGATGATTCTGGATCCGTGAAATTCCCATCCTACAAGTGCATTTCGTGCTACTTTGGACAGCATAAGAGCGACTCCCTGAGTGTGTGGAGCATTGTCCTCTTCGTGACCGGAGTATAGCAGCATCTCTCCCGTAGCTAGCCTTTTCTGTCCAGCTTGGGTCCAGTGGGTTTCGCTGATTCCCAGTACTGCTAAGTTGTATCTCCTCATTTCCGTAGCTATTTGACTGGTCTTCCCGGTTTCCCACATTGTTCGAACGTTCCATGTACCTATAAAAATTTTTGCTCTGGTTGTTAGAAGGGGCATCGGCCTCGTGGCTTCCGAAGGAACTCGGCTTTCACCATGAAGCATCATAATTCTTCTAAATGAAGACCTTCTAACTTCCAGGGCAGAGTTTAAATGGTTTGGATTATTTTTTCTGGTAAGCGTTTTTTTAGCGAGTTAGTTTTCTACGGGATGGGGACACTAACCTCATGTCCAACCCTCCTCCTTTACCCGGGCTTGGGACCGGCAGTAACCCTATAAGAGCTACAGGCGGAGTTGGTTTAGCTTCAACTGACTGGTTATTTCAAATATTGATGTAGCAAATAGTTAATTTGCAAAATATTAATCCATCGTTTGAGATTTCATTGTTCATGCATTTTCATACTAATTGCGTTCCGTTTCCGTTCTTTACCTATCGATCTTCTGCTAAAATACATTCTATGCCTGACCATCGTTATCTACTACTTAAATGGATAAAAGCAACCCACACTACAGAATTTCTTTATATATATATGTGTATAGTGACAATCAGAAAATATTGAATAGTTGTTTCGTTCCAATATGAAGTTACATCAGGGATTCGATCTAGGATCTCTTAACGAGTACTTAAGATTTGACCCTATGATTTAATTTATGAATTGATATATATGATTTGACATGTTTAGTTGATTTTAAATTATCACACGTAGACAATTTAAAAAAAATAAATGTTTGTACCTTTTTGATGATGATTGTGATAGTTCTCCACATTTCATCTCCGTACAATACAATTAAGTATCTTGACATTCGCATTGAATATTCTAACTTTAATGTTGGCTTGCTGACAATTGTTTTAAGTTCTTCAATTATAGAAATGCTATTCTTGCTTTGTCAATCCTCACCTTTACATTCACAACCGATCCCACTTGTTTATCGATAATGTTGTTGTCCAAGTACGTGAAGATTTCTATACACTTATCCAATAAAGATTACCTACTGTTTCCCAAAGTGTTCCATTTTTTGACATTCCCTATAGTGTTCAAATGTATTTCGGTCACAAAAAAAAGGAAAATCAACAACTTGAAAAACAATTAATTTAAAATATGAAGACCACAGTAACAAAACAAAGAAAAAAACCCCAACTAAAAACAGTTACGCTCTTTGAAATAACCTAATTTTTCACAAGAGTTTTAATATGAGATCATCATTATAAGTTGAAAATGGTGTTTTATTATGTGTAATATGAAAAAAAAGAAAAAAATTTTGCTATTGAATAATCATTAAAAGAAAAGATTAATCTCACCCTTATTGAATACAAAAAAATAGTACACCCTTGTATCTACCCCCCATTACCCTCACCCCCCACCAAAACAACAATACACAGCAACAACAACCACAACAACACCTCATTAATGGACAATTTTAACTTTCTAATTTATTTAAATTGAATTATAATTATAATAATGATTAGTTTGTATGTCTATTTTAAATAATAAATGCATAAAACGTACTATTTTACCTATGTAATCATTATGAAATTCATTGTTCATTATAATATTCATTATGTTTATCATTTCATGGGAATAATTGAATTCAATTAACATATGGCAGTAATCATAATAATAACTATTATAGAGTATAAAACAGTTCGAAATAACGAGAATGTATGTATAGATATATATAATGATTAAAATGATTGAGAACATACATTATTGTTGTTTGAAATTTCATGCTGTGCTATAGTATCTATAAAGAAAATTAGTTTTTAAACAAAATGGGAAAAGTTTAGTCAATTAAGAAGAAACAAAATAAAAGATGATCATAATAGTATTATATGAACAATATACGTTGTTAATGAAATGGCGATAAGTATAGGACTTTAATTTAACCCTAAATGCCCCTGGTAAGGTTGAAGAGTAGGAGGAGTCAACTGTCCTTCTCAAAATGCTCTCACATGGCCACGTGCATACAACCACAAATAAGGAAGTTTTATTTACTGTCTACTCACACCAGTGGTGTTGTTTACGAAATTGAGAGAATCGAAAACGAATATCTGGCACTTTCACCGGCTCGGTGGATACTGACAATTCACCTAGGGGATTTGGAAAACCCTGATTCCAGGACAATAGTGCACATGGGCTTCAGGATCCTGAGGGAACACATGGCGTATGAATCTATTGTTGGTCAACGGATACTATGGGAATACATATCCTGACATTACTCCAAATCGAATGATTTATGTGGCGTTTATTTGTTTGGTGCTTCATTGTACCAATCTTTATGTGTTTAAATTAAATAAAATTGGATTTTTATTTAGATGTGAACATTAATAAATGAAATAATGGTAATATCTAATCGATGGTTCGTAAAGAGAATGAAATGTAAGTTCTGCATTTCAACAGGGAATGTCAGTTCATACATGATTTATTATGCTTTTTGGTGAATAATATTGATTAACATGAAGCCTAAATCAAACACAGGCTTCTATTGATTTCACTAAACCATCTAGTATCGAAATATGTATTACTTTACTGAACTATTTGTTAGTAAGTTGTTTGATTTTAATCTATTTCGAATGGAGATACGGATAGATATCTCACTTCATGAAAAAATGACTAAATTTTAATTTTATAAGAGACAAATAAACATAATTTTCGACTGATGGGTTAAAATGATATCACTTAAGTTGACATTAATCAGTAGGGTGCACGTTCAACCATGATAAAACTGTAGGATGGTTACGTGGAGAGGAATGTTCTGGCGAAGTGGTGTCTGCTGTAGCAGTCGTTGTCGGCAGAGAGACGGAATGAGGCGCTCGGTCGCTGAGAGGACATTGGGTATAGATGGCTAGGCGAGTTGCCGGGAGGGCAGGCGTTGGACTTCATTGGTGTTGGGCAGACATCGAATTTAGATGACCCGGCTGGTCAACATTGCTACGGAGGTCAGCATGCAAACAGACGAGACATTCCTGCAGAGAGTGTGGCACAGACTGCGGCAAAGTAGTAAGTGTCATGATAAACGGAACAACCATAAGGGTAACATTCGTTTAAAGTGGAGACAAGTGTAGCGTAAGCTATTTATATTGACAGATATAAGTAGTATGTAGCAATGATCGCAAGTTGAATGCATGCTTGTAGATGATTCAGAAGATTTAATTGAAGGAAACAGAAAGTACTTGCAATGACAACAGAACTGAAAGAAATATGAATCATGTAGATGACAGCTGATGGAAGATGTGCAAAAAAGGTATTTAATGTATGGTTTTCATATTTTGTGAAATCACACTGTAATTTTGTATTAAACAATAAATTAGTTTCCCCCCACTGAGTGTTCGTTCACTACAAAACTTACTTTGGTGACATTTGGAATCACGGTAATAAGTAAGGGATTGTTTAAGTCGAATACGAGAATAGAGTTTGAATAGGCATATTTCACACAATCGTTAATGGAAAAAGACAATCAGAGAAACACAGCGAAGGGTGGGAAGAAAAGAGAGTGAAGCGAAACGGATTGGAGAAGGTAAGTGAGCCAAATAAATTTAATTAAGCGTTACTCGGTATTTAGAGCAGGAAATTTAAACGTCATGAATAATACAAAAATAGCCCAGTGAGTTGCAAATGTCATATAAAAACAGTCAGGGTTGATAAGTGAATAATTAACAAGATCAAAACGTGACTCAAAAAGCCTTTTCAGAAGGTAGAATAAGTTATATAGGCTTAACATATTAACCGACACTACACACTTGTCCTGGCAACCGTTAACAGATAATTCCAAACGGTGTATAAATTTGAGAAGATAATACAAAGCGTTGATTATAAGTTCACTATTGTACAGAGCAGATCACTAAGCCTCAAGCACATAAAAAGAATTCAAGTAGAAATACAAATGCAAACATGAGAAGCAAATTAAGGGGTCTAATGGATTGATAAAATTTAAGCACACATATAATAAAGCGAACGAGTTATTGAACGATTTAAACAACTAATACTTAAGCTGTAAAACTTGATTAAGTATACTCGTTCCCACAGTCATGATAGTGAAAATATCATGATACAGACAAAAATTGTTACTGTTCTAATAATACAATGTCAAATAAGTGGATAGAAAGGCTTGACAACATTATGTATTTATTTGTTTATTAATGCATATAAACATTGGAACAAGGAGGCATCAACTACGTATACGCCACATGAATCATTCGATTTCTGTGAGGGCCGGGATACTGTTCGGGTGCCCAAACCGAAACAGGTGGTTTTCTTAGGGGGCCAAACACAGAGCCTTCGACTTAAAGATCTAATCCTTAAGGCAGTGGAGCAACATTAGGAGATGTATTCCAGTGGTATCCGGTGACCAGAGGGTTTATATATATATATATATATATATATATATATATATATATATATATATATATTCGACCCTGTATTCGCTTTCTTTCACGTATTGCAAAATGTCAATAAATTGTCTCCGACTTTATTTTTCTTTCGTTTCCATACCAATCACTCTCTGTTTTCATTCTCTTTTCTTCGATCTTCTTAACCTTCTGCTGCCATACATTTCACTATCGATTGGTAATACAAACTACTTATATCTGTAGACATCAGTAGCACACACGTCGTTTCCCAATTTACTAATCCGGTGACATAATACTTATTTTAATAGTTGAAAGAAGAGACTAGTTTTCCATCCTATATGAATTTACGAGAGTGATAATTAACAAGTTTAGACTATACTGTAGGGCCAGTGAAATGTCACTAAGTTCTAGCCAAATCATCCAGCAATTGGATCACTGAATATCGAACAGTTCATCGACTCCCATCAAGGTGAAGGACAACCAACACGCATCAGTTAATCGTATGCCATGGAATGACACATACGTTGACGGTTACACTTTTGTTTGTACCTGCTCCAACTAATATATTTCTATAGTAACATCCTTTGTGTTATACGATTTTCAACTCAGCAATACTACCTTGATACGACGAAAGGGTATACCATTTTATGTGCTAACCACGAGCTGTGACTTCTAAGTTAGCTATTGGTCACATCATTCTCATCTAACTCGAGTAATCCTTCAATCGTTCTTTATAGATCATCTACGTTAGTGTTCTACAATACGAATGTTCATTGAATTCTTGATTATTGAATAGTTGTTTAGTGGTGAAGTGCTAGTACGTGAGACTGGTAAGTCCTGGGTTCGAATCCCGCGAGGCAGGGTCGTGGGTGCGCACTACTGAAAGGTCTTACATTAGGACAAAACGTCCGTCCAGTGCTTTCAGGTTTTCCATAATGGTCTAGCTTCAATTGACTCATGAATTCAACTACGCAAATTACTACAATCACCACAAAACCCCTTCTGATATTGAATAGTTCTTGAAATAATCTTGACATTACTATCAATAAAAAATTTGTCTTGATTATTTTATATATAATAATATCATATTCTCATTAATTCAACATTGTTAATATAATAGTAGGAACATAATTTTTTTCAGAGCTGCGGGGGTGGGTTGGGGTGCGGTTGAGAGGGGAATTAAATCAAAAAGAAAGATCTAATATTATTTGTCTTAAAAATTTTTGTTGGTTAATTGACGAGACTCTGATTTATGGGTGACCTTTGAATGGATCTCAAGTGACCATGAGAAATATTAGTCAATCGGCAAGCAGTCAGTATAGAGTAAATATATATTATACAAAACCAATGAAATAAAGTGGATACACTTCTTACACGTGGTTCAAAAACTTGTCAAGTTTAGAAAGAGTTTCAGAGGTTGTAAAATCGTAATGCATGCAGTAGAGGAAATCATCTATATGGCTACACGATAGTCGACCTCTGGAGTCATGATAAAGTCTCAAAAACTCTTTCAACCTCGACTACATAGATCCAATTTTGTTTATGTGTACTTCGGTTGTTGAATACACAAAATGATAATTGTGGATAACGATACGATGTACATAACCAAGCCTAGGTAGGAGTATGTACGCTCTCCAATCATCCGTAAATATTGTAGTACCTGGCTGCTTTTATTATCCAGTTTGCAATAATTGTCGTAATTTGCCTTAGTTAAGAATTATATATAGGGCTTTCATCACGAACTGACATCAGCTATAATGCCAGGAGTTTATTTAGCCAAATGGATGAAAGTCTTTCGCATTAAAATCCGAGATCTATTATCTTATACCCGATTGATTCGTCCACAAATTATAGTCTCACTGTTTTATTTGTTATAGCCACTTAATTATCACGTTTTGTACAAAATTCGTTGTGAACCCATCGTACGTTGGCATTGAACACTGAAGTTGGCACCGTAACCTTGACATCTCTAAAACTCTCGTGATTGGCTCGTCCATAAATTAGAGTCTCACCGGTTAATTTTGAATTTCCACCTAACATTATATTACAGTTTAAAACAATGAATGATTTATATAAACACAAACATATACTACTTAATATTTAACATAAAATCAAATGTATAAATAAATAACATTTTGTTAATATTTTTTTAGCGCAGTTTTTAATTTTTTTTTCTATCTTTTTAAGAAATATGTAGACAACATTTGTTATAATCATTCTTCTTTTTGTTTCAATATCAAAGGTCAACTAGTCTAATAAGCAATATTGATATTTGATTCAAACCTTTCAAGGGCGGGAATCAAACCTCAATAGATATATGCATATATATATATGCAATGTATACTAGTAGTCTGTAAATTGCACACAAAGATCAATTACAACCATACTGTCTTAT